TCAGAGATGACTCACAGCTCTCCCAGGGTGGGGCCCTTTGGCGGCTGGAACCGGTGTGTGCCTGTGTGGCCTGTCTCCTCCGCACTGGGGCCTGGGGACAGAAAAAAGGGAGGCCCAACCCACAGGAATTTGACAGTGGACAAGTAGAAGTTAGAGAAAATTAAAAGTATGACTCATGAAATGCATATGCCATGTGCTAAACCCTGGCTGCTTTCATGACACTGTTAAAGGCATTGGTAGGCTGACATTGATGGATTAATGAGAGAACAACTCCCTAAGAGCTGTTTGAAAGAGGAGAAGCTAAAGATTTCGCAGACAGGATAGGCTGAATAAATAGGTAATGAAAGGAACTGTGCAAATATACCCACCCAGGTGATAGCAAAACACAAAATGCTAATTAAGCCAGCAGGAGCTACAGTGTTGTATTGCAAAGCAGTGTATTGAGGATCGGAGGCGGGGCCAGTATCTGGGGAACAAAACCCTCTCCTGGCCCCTGGGGTCTTGTCTTGTGTGCGTTTTGGACTTGACAGCAGTCTGAAGCAGGGCTGCCCCATATCTCTCTGTGACGATGGATACAGTCCATATGTGTGTGTGGTCTGATAAGGCAGCCACGGGCAACATGTGGCTCCTGAGCATGTGAAGTGTGGCTGGTGAGACCAAGGAACAACTGACTTCTACATTTTATTTTAATTCATTTAAATTTAAAGTTAAATAGCCCTGTGTGCTAGTGGCCACTGTATTGGACAGCATGGTTCTAGACTTCGGCTGCCTGGATGTATGGATGGATGTTCCGACCTTTTAAGCCTCTGCAGATTACTTGAAGAGGCTTTATTTTAGCCTCCAAAGTTTGTGTGGATTATGATGGACAGAGCAACGACAATGTTTATGTTGGGTAACTGCTTTCACCCTTTACCTCACCTGGCTTTCTGGGAGATCCAGGTGATCTCACCGATGTCAACATCCTGCTGAGCCAGGCCTGGGGGCAGAGCCAGCTGCTCAAGCTCACAGGGGAACTGCCTCCTTCACGAGGTTGGGTCCTGGTTACCTGAATCTAAATACTTAATCGCTGGATTGCTGATGGAGAAAGGACAATAATCCTATTTCTATTAGCTGAGCAAACCGTGCTCTTGAAAAACTGAGAGCTGGTCTCCACCTTCTTTGCCGATGAAGTAAATGCAGTGACCATGTGTCCCTCAGTCCTTGAGGTTTGTGCACTTGGAACAGTGTCCCTTCCAGCAAGGACACAGGATCTTGGAAGAGGAGAAGGGTCCATGGTGTTTCTCTTCACAGAAGGCTGCTGCCCTCCAGGTCCTGGGCTAATCGTTTTCATCATGTTCTATGGGGAAATCAGGGCTCCTGCCCCTTCTGCATGAAGGTTGGAGGGGGTGAAAGACCCTGGTGCCCAGGCCAATCACAGCCAGCTCCCGAGGCCAGCAGCTGTCCTGGGGAAATGATTTCCTGCTCATATCGAGAGATTGCTTTGTTTTTTAGTCTACTAAATCATCCAGCTTCTATGTGGAACTGATGTTTATTTATTTCCCTATTAAATTCTAATCTGATTAAACAGTTCACAGGGTTGTATGTACTTTGAGAAGGGTCTAAAATGAAGTTGCTACATTATATTGGCTTTTAGAAATCTGACCTAGGGCTGAACTGAGGTGAAAAAAGGTATTCTAGAAGCCTCAGAACCTGCCCTTCCATGGATATTTGTTGGGGCATCATTTGCAAAATAATTGGACACCAGGGCAATTTATAATGTATTGTAATGTTCGTATAACATTTAAGAGTCTCACCCGTTCTCATAACAACCCCATGAGATAAGCTTAAGGAGAAGAATCTCCTTGATGGGAAAAGTGCTTAGAAGGAGAGTGGCTTGCCTGAACTCATGTTGTCATGAAGGACAGAGCTGGCCCTTGGTGATAACCGTTCTTTCTCCTAGGCCACATCACCAATCGAAACCTCTTTAGGAGCTCCCACTCCACACAACATCTCAGCACAGGCTGGGTAGGTATTGCTTTATCTTAGACTTAGATGGAACACAACCTCTGCCTAGCTAGAGGTTAAAGGCACTGGGTAATGAAGAAGGTATGTCATAATGGAGTGGCCGCCACATTAACCATGCATTTGGGGACCTACCCACCGCTAGGCAGGTGTCAGGAAACTATAGCTGGATACTGGCTCTGTTACCTGATGGTAAAAGCCTCACTTATTCCAGACCCATCGGAACTGTGACACTCTGAGGCTGGGTTAAGGAATGAGCAAGGGACGGGAATTGCAATACGTGTCAAAATTTGGTGGTGGCATGTTTTGCATTGTGACTGTACAGTGGAAAAATGACCATGGATTAAGCCATGCACTTTCACAATAGGCACTCAATCCGAGAGTGAACTTGCCTTCAGAAATCAGAGGCAAAACGATCCTTAGAGTTTTCAGCCCCAGAAATCGCTGGCAGGAATTTACTCAGGGAGGTGTTCACCTAGGATAGAGGGCTTTGGTTAGGTTCTACTGTCTCATTGAGCTGTGCCTTTCTGCTGCCCTTTTCTGTTTGACCAAGGATCTCTTACACTCTAGTGCCTAATATGACACTCAATACACTGAGCTCTGGAAATTGGATCTGTCTGGCCTGGGTTCTCTGTGGGAGGTGCCAACGTTCCTACTCACAGCCTCCTCTGGGAGACCAGCTCCAGGACCTTCCTGCTTTGGAGAATCTTGGAGAAAGAGTTCTGACAACTTCTTCATTCCCTCAGGATTTGAGATATAGCAGGGCAGGCCCAGACTAGGAAGCTTTAAGAACCACCAACTTTTCACAGAAATGTAAGCAGGAATCCATACCTGAGAAGGGGATTCTCCAAACCAACCTATGATCCTGGGGGCTGAGGATTTCCAGGATCTGGTCTGAGTCTCCTAAGGGATCTCTGGCTCCCCTTGTACCAAGCAAACACTGAAGGACAGAGCCAGGAGGGATCCACTGTTATGAGCACACAAGTCAGATGGCTGCTGACATGATACATCCAGTGACATCTTTTCTCACCCTGCCTCTCCTGCAAATCCTCTAGTGTCCCCCAAAGAATATCCATGATAGAGAGAGCCACACAGAGAGGGTTTGACTATGGAAAGTTCTGATTTTGTCACTCTTCTTGATAGAGAAGATATGGCCTTGAAGGCACTGGCACAGCCCAGGCCCAAACCCTTGGGATATCATTATCTGGAAAGAATCGGGATCGTGTAACTAATGCTGTTTCAAGTTCTCAGACATACCAAGAGGCGACATGGTGTGAACATTGAAAATTCCTACCCTTGTACTTGAGGATAGAAATTGCTAGTTTTATGCATCCTACCACTTGTTTTTGTCTTTATTTCATAATTGCTTTTATATGTACAACTATGTCCTTTTTAGATGTGGTCTGAGTGTTTTGCAATGATGACTTAAAGAGCTGAAGAAAACTACAGAAATCTGTCACCAACTTGTCCCCCAAGTAACTTTGTAAAGAGAAACACGGAACTTTAAGTCCCAGAATGTCTCAAATGCATGAGCGCTGCCATACAAAATAGCCGTGACTATGGACATGGATCTTTCCTGAAAACTGAAGAACTCAGCTGCCCCTTGTTTAATAATTCCAACCTAGGGAGATCGCTACATGCTACCTATTTGGCTTAAATTGCATTACATTTTTCATATCTGTTCTTGATTTTTGTTCCCGTGTACAAAAATGTGAGACGTTACCTTAATGCTAAACATGTGTCTTTCTAGCCAAAGGAGATTTAATTTGGGGGTTAATCACACTCCCTACATTTAATCAGCACCGGGCACTGCTCTCGTAGGTAGTACCCGAGTGACAGGAAAGGTCCAGGCGACTTGTTCCTCTCAGTGCTGCCAATACTGCGAGACAGTCTCTCCTACCTTCAGACTGTAGGGGGGATATTTTGTTGTGTGACTGTGTGTTCCTTACTAGGCAGTATGGATCTCTCCCAGGGATACAGCTACATCCATAAACATCAATCACTGGTGTTTTTAGCTGTCCTTTGAACATTAAATAACCGCAGTGTGAACATCCCAGATTAGAGAAGAAATCCCAACAAGAACTTGATTGATATCAGGCATCCAGGATCTATCTCGGGGATCCATACCTCCAAAAGAAAAGACAGTCCATCCTCTGGAGTAAATTTCAGGCATAAAATATTAAGTAAGAATTCATAAAAGGCATATTACTCATCTTAAATCAATTCGCCATGCTAACAACGGGTGTTGAATGCAGCTTGTGGTATTTAGCTTTCATAGGATAAGTAAAATTCTTACGCAGAGAAGAGCTTACACGTGAAATATGATCGTTCCGCCTAGTGGTTCAGAGCACCCTGTCTGGGCTCAGACGGCCTGGAAAGGAATACCCACTCTACCACATACTGGCTGTAAAATCTGGGGCAAAATTTCTTAACTTTTCTAAGGCTCAGTTTTCTTCTCCATCAAAGGAGGCAAATAATATATAGCGACTTAAGAATATTAAATAAGCCAATGTGTATAAAGTCCTTAGCACAGTGTTGGAACATTGTAAGCACTCAAATAATGGTAACTACTAACTACTACTGTTATCATCCTCATTCTTGTGTTGCTATTATATTATACCAAACTTTTTATTTATTATCATCCTAGACAAAAATATTTGGACAATGGCTAGTTATTATGTGATGCAGCATTGTATTTTACTCTCTTCATTTAAACGAAAAACTGGATTTGCAGTGCAGTGGGTTAGACTCTGAGGAAAGAAGGGTGAGGCTGAACTGGAGTGACGGCGAGCGAGGGTCATGTGGCGGGGAATGGTACCCGGAATGGGAGTGCCTGCCCCGGCCTCTTCCGCCCTGACCTGTAGGATTCTTCAATATCTCCTTTTTGTGTTGGCTTTTTTCCCAGGTAACACACACACACACACACACACACACACACGCATGCACGCACACACACACACACACAGTAGCAGGAGAATGTCTTCCAGGGTTCTAGGTACCTGTTTGGAAGGTGTCCCACTTGAAAACCAGGATTTCTCAAAATTTGTCTCTTGCCCCCCGGATAGATCTCCATAGTTCTCGGCTGAGTCTCTTCTGTGTTCCTGTCTTCTCAGACAAGCCTGGAGAACAAAAGAGGCTTGTTTTGTTTAGTTTGTCACTTTGGGTCTATGACTAGCTTTGATACCTTTATGCTTACTTCCTATTGTGAAGAACATGAAATAAATCACAGAATAAATACATGAGGTACGTCTCCGGTGTACATCACTGTTACCAAGTACCAACACACCCACCCAGGCATCACTCCTCTTCCCTTAGCCCCAACTGCCAGAGCAATAGCATCAGTCATTGCTTGAATAAATTCAAACAACAAACATACCAAGAGGTATTTTGTCAAGTATTTCCCCAACAATCACCTTCTTAGGGAAGGAAGGAAGGACCTAGTATACCGCATTAACTTCTCCTGGTCTCTTTCTCTTCATGGCTCCTCCTTCATACTCACCTCCATCCACTCTACTCTATCCCTTTGGGTTACACCCTAGTTACAGGAGAAGAATTTTCATACGTGAGCCTTCAGCACGTGCTGCTCCCTCCACTGGGAGTGCCTTTCCCAGGATGTTCTCTTGACAAATCCTGCTGCTCTCCTCTGAGAGCTAGCTGGGTGGCATCCCCCATTTTCCCTGCCTCACTACTCTTCCCCAACCCAAATCAATTGCTCCTTTATACAGACATAGCTTGAATTATGCAAAATTTTCCCACATTGTATTTAGTTGTTTTGTGTTTGAGTCTGTTTCTCCTGCTGATCTCTGAGAACAGTGACAGTAAGGGCCACTTCTTTTCAATCCCCCAGCATCCAGCATTTAGTGTTAATTGAATTGCATTTTTGTTTTGGAGGAAAGTAACAATCCCCAAATGCAAAATGATAAAAATGTATAAACAAAAATGTTTTCTTTTCATTTTTAAAAAACAAAATGAGAAGAAAACTTAGTTCCAAAATATTTCTCCTCCCGTACGGGGATTGAACAAACTGAAGAATATCATGTGCTAGGGGGATTTCAACTGATAATGTAAATACCCCTGAGGAGTAAAACTTCTTGGAGCATTTCCAGGCTAGCAGAGCCAGTGACAGAATTCACCATTGCCCACCGCAGGCAAATTATCCATGTTGCAGTAGAGAAAGGCGGTGCACAGACCAGTGATAGTGTTTCTAAACCGGGCCCAACACATCTGCCTTCCGGGCTGGGCTGGGAAAGATTTCTCGGGCATTTTTTCATTTCTGTTGGAATAATGTCTCCTTCCTTTTTTTTTTTTAAAAAAAAAGATTTTACTTTTAGAGAGAGGAGAATGGAAGGAGGGGGAAAGAAAGAGGGAGGGAGGGAGGAAGGAAGGAAGGAAGGAAGGAAGGAAGGAAGGAAGGAAGGAAGGGTAAGAAAGAAAAGAGAAATGCTGATGTATGAAAGAATCATCCATCTGTTGCCTCTCCCAAGCACCCCAACTGGGGACTGGCCCGCAATCTAGGCACGTGCCCTGGCCGGTAATCGAACCAGCAAACTTTTGCTTTGCCCAAACAACTGAGCCATGCCAATCAGGGCACATCTCCTTCCTTGATGTAGAAGGACTTGCCAGGGCTTCCTGCCCTGGGGAAAGCCTGATATTATGCTACAAGGTTAAGAATAGAAATGACCTGATAGTACACAAACATTTTCCACTTTGGAAAGCAGAGAGTCGGTTACACTGTGCTTCACAACTGAGGTGTGAGGGAAGCGCCGGCTTCCAGTCTCCCGCACCGTGGCCAGACGGCACCTGGCTTCCCAGGAGAACGGTGCAGGTTTACCCCGCCTTGCTCAGAAAGGGAGAACAGCCCATAATGTTTTTTTTTTTCTAGCTCATAGTTTATCTTATTTCCAAAAACTATTTCATATAGATAGTAAGCCATTGTAATAAATCCTGGGCAGTGTTTGTTTTCATAAATAATTTAAACAAGAAAACTCAAAAATACTAGACAGTAACTATAATAAATAAGCACCAGAGAGGTAGCTGGAGAGTTCAGTGAAGTTTAGCTGAGTACAGGCCTCTTGTTTCTATTCCTTCTCCACTGACTTGTGACCAGAGCCGCTGATTGGCAGGAGCCCTGGTCTGGCCTGCTGTGTCCTGAAGCGGCAGATGCCTGTGCTACCCAACCTGCCGGTATCAAAGGAGCAAGAAAATGCTGATGGGCTGAAAGTGGAGGAGCCCGTCTTAGCAAAGGCTTGCAAGACCCAGGCAGAGTCTGTGGGATGAACAGAATTCTTGTGGGCTGAGTGTTTTTTGAAAATTCTCTCCAAGAATGCATGTGACTTAAATATTTCTTTACCAAAAGGGGATGAAGAATAGAATGGTTTGCAGTGATGAAAAAACCCTTTCCCCTCTGGTTCCTTATCCCTTCTTTCATAGAGGAACAGGAGAACAACACACCAGTGGCAAAGTAGGTACTTCCAATCTCTTTATTTTGATCCAGCCAAGCAATCTTTCTGTGTAAATCAAACATTAATCCTCTCAAGGTCATAGCTTTGCTGACAAAAACAAACACCGGGACAGAGTCAAGTCGAGGCTCCCAGTCCTAGAAAAAGCAGAATCCAGCCGTACTGCCCACAGGGGCTAGTTTTCCTGTTATTTGTAAATGTCATTTTGTTGGTGGTGGTGGTGGTGTTGTTGTTAATGACGTGTTTCTACTTTGGGGGTCCTGAAGTGACGGGGCAGAGGGGTGTGACATACAGAGGATGGGGAGGAGGAATGGCCTAGTAATTCAGAGTCACCAGGGGCACCCCTTACTCTGGAACTTTCGAAATATTCCCTTTCAAATTCACGTGCCTGGAGCCGGACTGCTATAAATAAGTTTCTGTTCACGTGACATAACTGGCTGAGAGCAGTCTTGAAATTGTAGGCGTGTCAGGTAACTCCTTATTCCTTTCTATTGGAGTACAGGGGCTCCTCCTTCACTCTTCCTCTGTGTTCTCGCCCCGCCCCCCACCGCACCTCGCCCCTCCCCCTGACAGCAGCTCCGGCCGTCAGGCGCCTTCTGTGCAGAAGCTAACGCTGCGGGGGTAGAACACAGAAGGTGCGTACATGCCTGTGGAGGGTGACGTGGGTTCTGTGACTCACTGTAACTCAAGCCTGGTAAACACGACAAACCCCCAGCGCTGCCACTTTCTAGCTTCGTGACCTTGGGCGAGCTCACTGACTCCATGGGTTGTCACCCCCCTCATCCGAAAGAGGGAGATGGGAGAGGGCCCTGGGCTGCCGGCGTGTTGGGGGAACTCCAGGCAGGGTGACTGGCCTCATGGTGAGTGTCCAATAAAAGACACTCATCATCACCATCACCATCATTATCTCATGACAATTTTAATTGTTTCCAATCCCATTCCTTGGTTTACTTTTATTTCTAACAGCCTTTGCCAAATAATGTGACTCTGATCTTAGTCACGGAGGAAGAAAGGCTCTTTCTGTCCTGGCCTGAGCATCGTTCTTGTTTTTCCACCCCGGAAGGAGACGGGTGTTTCCTAAGCCTGCTCATCCCGCAGCAGCCAACTGAGGAGATTCCGTCCTAGTCATTCAGGGGTCCTCTGTGAACCACTTTTCACTCAGCATTACAGCTTTCGAAATCCACAGGGATGCTCAAAACTTCTCTTGTTTCTTCTATTATCAGTCTCCTCTTTTACCTGGGCCCCTGGTGTTTTAAGAAGCCATCAGTGTATCACGGGAACACTTCTTCACCTCAAAGTCATGGCAGAAAAACTATCCTAAGACCCAGCTAGGGTACACCTCAGCCAACAATGACCCTCTGTCAAGGTTACTGTTACCCAAACTGCACAAGCTTTCAGGAAGTGGGAGTTGCCACTGCCTTCAATTGGTTCTTTTTGGTAGTGGTTCTTGTGACCTAACATGAGTAATCCACAGTTTGGGGTTTTAATTATCACTGGTGACATCATCAAAGTTCATTAGTTTTGAGAGGTTAAGTAATCAAATGAGTTGATTTCCTGTCCTATCTGAGGACAGTAGAGAAACACATACGTCAGAGGTGAGCAGAGCACAGAACGCTCCCTGCCCCCGACTGCCGCCCCCCTCTCATTCTCATGGGAAGGGAAGTTGAATTTTCTCCATTCCCTCAACTTTCTGAGCGGATGGTTCCAAACCCTCACCACCTGGCAGAGTCTCCGATCGTGCCCTTGAACAAGTTTATGTCATCATGCTCAGTGTTTGACCTATACTTGAAGGAATTAGGACGAATAAGTGACCTGAAACAAAACCCATTTGAACACATTTGATAGATTATGAAAAAGTCATGCTGAAATGCCAAGTAGAATCTTTCTCTCCAGCTTTCAGTGGACACAATGGCTAAATTCTGCCTCAAGTTACATAAACACATTTGACCAAAAGAAGAAGAAGAAGAAAGCTATGCAGCATAAACACCCTTGAAGAAATAGAGCCAAATTCTGAGATGGCATGTAATTATGTACTAGTTACTAGATTCTGAAATAGCATGTAATATGCCAAATAGATGTTTATTTCCTCTTGTTTTTTCAAAAGGGTCCCACCCAACCACTGAAAGGAGTAGCATCAAAATAACTCAGGGTGGGTTTAACCCTCCCCTCCTGCCGCTAGCACACAGACCTGTAAAGGCACTGCTAATTTGATGCATACCAACCCCTAGCATATTTTAGGATGTAGCAGGGATGGTGTGTACAGGAGGTTTCTAAGGGCTTCAATTTGAGCCAGTTTGTTAAAGACGAGCCAAGCACAGGAAGGAATATGTGGCAAACACATATGATTTGGGAGTCATAGCTAGTAATTAAGTCTTACACTATTTGTACACCCAGAAATGGGGACTCCTTAGTGTCCAAGCAGGTCACTGTGCTGTGAGTGAAAGCAAGATTTCTGCAAGTAACTGTCCAAGCTCATCAGTGACCCAGGATTTCAATATCCACCCAATACAAAGTCTACCTTAGTAAATTATCTAAATACAAATAGATCACATATGGACCAAATTATTGAGGGGTCATTAAAGTCACACAATTGATTCTTAACCCCCTACTTTAAATACTTTCTGGAACAAGGTAAGGGATAGATTAAATAATCTAACTAA